CGTTAGTGAGCAAGAGATATAAAGTGAGAAAGGTATGTAATCCAATGGCACAAGAGACATGTAGTGCAGCTCTGGTATGTGTTCTGGCAACTCAACATCCTGGATTCGAACCCTAATGATGAGTCGATCTAGAAAACTAGACTGTGGTAATATTAGCCTTAGTCTCCAATCCATAAATAAAAGATTGATTTGCATCTTGCAGGTCGTTGTTCAAAAATCGTTTGAATATTTCACCATGCACCTTACGGCACAAATGATTTGAGATTCGGAATGAACAGAAACGATATACCGAGACAGGAGTTAAAAATGGGCATACTGCAGGAGAAAATATAAAAAAAATTGGAAGAATCGATTAAGATCCGACAAAGCCAAGTACTATAAACAATATGAGAAAGAATATAAAAGCACTAGTCTTGAACTGGGTCTCCTGGCAAGGAGGATATACAGAGCGGAAACAAGGATCAGGAAAGACTGCCAAGTGTAAGTATTCAAAATTAGCAAGAATAATAAAAGGTGCTAGAGCTAAAGCAAAGCTATGGAAAATACACTCAAAAGCAAGTATGGCATGGAAGGACGCGTACAGTTTCAAAAATGCAAATATAAGTATAAATTAAGAATGTTCACTGTAATAGCGTCAAGAAAACAAGGCAAAAATTGAGTAAATTTTACATGATAGATACCAGGTGAATTTAAATTACTCGGTTAGGTGGTTAATTCGATATGGACATGAGATGCAAGAGGGAACAAGGAAAAGTATGAATTAGGTCTAAGACTTAGTGGCCCATATTCGAGATAAAAATGAGCATAAAAAACCGCTACGTGCCTTGTCCCAGTAAAATCGAACGAATGAGAGAAAAGGACGAGCTGGTACAATGGTTACGAGATAGAGATAAGGCAAAATTACAGCCTATTTGGTGCTTTCCGTCTAATCTCTAAGAGTAGTCAGAAAGAACGTCAAATGCAGCAAAGTAAGAGTATAGCTAAAGGTAAGAGAAAAAAGGAAATATTATTAAGCTAGTGGAATTTAAAATATAGGAATAGGAAAGTGTCATAAATTAAGCTTTTCGAAGGGTGGTTGTGACATGAGGAAAAAACTAGAAAATCTGATAAAATTATTCAATCAAGCATAGAAAGAATAAGGAAGAGAGCATAGGGTGACTGAACTATCGGGAAATTGACTTAAGGAAAGTAGATACAATGGGAGGCTGATAAGTAAAAATTTTGGCTACATTGGGAAGAATCGAAATCGTAAAAATGCTAGAGAAGTCCCCAGCCATCAGAAGACGGCTTCCAAAATATAACATTATTTGGTAAGATAAGACACTAATAAAGAACGATAAATGACATACTCTAAAATTCTAGATAGCCTCAGTTTGCGGCACTCAAATAAGCAATGAAGAGAAAGCGCCATCGTACTTATCGCAGATTTATGAGGGAATCAACATTAGCTGTAGAAAGTGTCATATAAAAAAGTTAATTATAGGAATACAGTGCCTGCAGTGACAGATCGCAATTATAACAGATAATAACACATTACAGCAATAATAACATATTGTAGTGATAACCCTCAAATAATATAAAACTATATGTTGGTTTGGTGAATTTACATATAGCGAAAGAGTTACTCCAGGGATATGTCATTCACAGTGTATGAGACCCCCAAAATAGATTAAAAGACACATAAGTACTATAGCTAAACAGCAAAATAATGAATGGATTTATGGAGGCATTCATCCAAGCAAGTAGAGACGATAGTAAGAGTAAAGATATTAAATAACCTAGATGATTGTGGAAGCTCATTTGAGACAAAATATTAAAGTACAAATGGAAAAGTGAACAAAATTCAAAAAGCTCCCGAAAATGAGGGAGAAAATGCAGATTAATTAAGGAGGCTGTTCATAAAATGCAATAAAAAAAGTATTGATGAGATGCAAATATTATGCGTTGGAACCAGAATGTATTTAGGTTAGCCAGGATAGTTATCCGCTTAGCTAGAAAAATATTAGATAAGTATTTATATAGGAAGGGATAAAGAAAGACAATTACTTGGATATATTCATAAAAAGTAGGTTTCTTGAATAAGTGGATCCAGAACTCCTATTAGCTAATTGAATAGTGAATGAAGATATGGAGAATATATATTTTCATGGAAGAGCAGCGAAATGTAAGAAATAGAAAATCAGGTAAGAGGAGGAAGCAGACGAATTCTCGAATGATCATCAAAATTGAATACCAAGTCTCCTTCATCCTTTGATGTCATATTTTCTTTACCTTCAGGCTCATCAGAATCGGCTAGCTCTACAGTCCAACCGGCACCGATAATGGATACCAAAACGTGAACGAGCAGTGACCAGACGGACTCATGTGGTACACAAACTGTATACGAATGCATCATTTGGCGCGCCCAGTATGTGGAAATGCAAAGGGTAGTATCAAGGCTGCCATCAGTATAACCGATGTCATTACAAGGACTGGTGAATGCAGGAAGGTCATCGACTGTCGTTGCCATCTGGACACAAGAATTCATCCGGGTTTCAGCGTTGCCAAAAGGTGCTGGGATGCGAGGTGGATCAAGGAAGCGTAGAGGGCTGAAAGGGAGAACGGTTGGGGAGTGTTCCGACTGTATTTCTGATTCTGAAACGAGTACGGGTGAAATAGGACTTGCTTGGTGGCGAGGCATGTCTTTAGTAGTAGTAAATAAGGACCAAAGAGAAGGGTCGTTGAAGCACGCAGGCTGATTGAATAGAATCAAATCACCTAGATTAAAGAAATCGATAAAAAATAAAAACAGGCGATAAGTCATGGAATAAATGACTTAGCTACAAGGCCTTAACCGATCTAAAACTTCTCACAGTGAGATCGAAAACGAAAATAAGAAAGGGTCACGCTGCGAAGTATACTAACAGGGGCAATTCGGACCACATTTAATGATGAGATGTTTAAAGGCAATTGGTCTCGCTGATGAAGAACTAGCAATTATCAGGTTTGTATTCGGTGATGGAATGGTAGAGATAACTCATCTTAAAAAAGGTCCTTAGGAAGAACCAAACAATTCGCCGGGTATGGCTTAAGTTTTTGTAGTAACTCATTAAAATGTTCGCAGCAATCCATTAAAAGATTGATGCTGGCCTAACTTCAATTTTGTTTGAAGAAGCAAATGTTAAGGATTCGTGAATTGGCCTCACGGAAGCAGGAGTTGTGAGTTTAGTTTTTTGCCCACCAAATCATGAGATGGACAAAGTCATAAGGATTAGGTAGGATTGCAGCCTGCCACCTTTCTTACCCTCGTGTTTGGAGGATTATCGTAAGGCGTGGATTCCTGCTCTGACGATGCCTGCCACATGATAGGTGAAAGCTCTATAAGGATTTATCAGGTCACGAGGCGATGCGTCTGCAGCCACACCTCCAAGGCAATCTTTCTCCGACTTCCAATAATGCCAATTCATGAATCCCTTATAATTGCCTCTGAAAACGAAATTAAAAGCAAGAAAACACCAATGCATACGTGCATACTTGTCTGTTATTGTCAGGTGCTTGTTTCACTGCGCCCGTTCTAATGAAGCCCTTATTATCTGTTTATATAGCCCTCTTGGTCATGGTTACTTTTGACATTGCTTCCTATGAAAAATGAGCATTTATGCAACCGGTCTTGCTCCTCTGACTCGTTTTCTTGTTTTCAAACTCTGTTGTACTAGGAACTATATTCTACCTAAGTCGCCTAAGGTGATAGTTCGATTTCCCCAAAATTATATCATTAGGCCTCGTAAGGCCATTAAGTCTCATCCAGCCTTGCCCGACTAAAGCAATTCTTATCCAGAGTGTACTACAATTTCTAACTCACCTGGGACTCATCAGCACTTCTAAGTGGAATAGAACCCGAGTAGTGCTACATTTATTCTCGGCACGTTATCACTACGCCACATGGCTTTCAACGTCAGTAAGGCATCTTCCGCATCACATTATATTATGGTATAGTCGATGAGGGAAACTTGTATTTGCCATTAAAAACGCCTAAATTATCTAAATTTAGAATTATTTGGCTTAGATACTATCAGTAGATCTTGAAGAAGGAATGTATTCACCCCAAGACTGATAGATAAATTTTCCTGCAATTATATAAGTATGCGAAGAAAAGTTTGGTTTCAAGGAATCTCTTGTTTCATAATTGTTGAGCATACTCCCATTTCAAGTGAAAGTTTTGGGTGAAGAGATTCGAAGGTCGGTTCAACCAGAAGATGACGGC